AAACAAGATTGATGAACCTCTAGCCAGGCTCACCAAAGAGAAAGGACCCAAATAAACAAAATGAGAAACAAAAGAGGTAAAGTAACAACTGATCCCACAGAAATACAAAGCATCATAAAAACAAAACAAACAAAAAAAAGTATGAACAACTATACTATTTTACATCAGCCTGCCAAAATGTTGTCTAAACAATTCCCGATCACTCGACAACAGGCAAAACAGATTATCAAGGAATATCCCACTTGCATGTTACATCTGCCTCAAGGGCCTAATACAGGAATTGACCCTCAAGGATTAATGGGAGACCATATCTGTCAAATGGATGTAACACACTACTCCTTTTGGATGCTTTGGGGCATTGCATGTCTCTGTAAATACCTTTTCAAAGGGCCTATGGGCCACTGCATCTATAGGAGAAATGGTGAAACAAGTCATTAATCATTGCCTAAATGCTTTTTCCATCATGGGAATTCCAAAAATTAAAATTAATAATGGACCTGCATACACAAACTGTCATTTCCAGCAATTTAAAAAAAAATGGAAAACTCAGTACATTACTGAAATACCATACAATTCCCAAGGACAGGCAATTATAGAATTCCAACATAAATGGCTCGAATCCCAACTTGAAAAACCAAAAAGGGGAATAGTGATGCTGGAGAAATCTCCTGTAGGTAGACTACACCAAGCCTTAATTACCTTAAATTGTTTTACTTGTAATGCTGTTGGCAAGACACCTACGGAATTACACTGGTGTCAGAATAAACCAAAGGAAAATGGTTTGGTTTAATGGAAAGATCCTGAGTCTACTTTATGGAAGGGTCTCGACCGTTTGTTAACCTTTGGTCGAAGATATGCTTGTGTATTTCCAGAAAACTCCTCCAAGCCCATGTGGATTCCTGCAAGGAACATTAAACTTCAACATGGATCTGAGAGAGGAACTGACCAGACTAATGAGGACCTTGCACCTGGAGCCTCACCCTGTACCTGTGGCTGCAGACAATCGACTACTCCAGCCACAGATAGCAGTAGCCCCAAATAACATGCTGAAGATGAGGAATGGGAGGAGAATGAGACAGACAAGAAACAATCCAGAGATGACCTGGGGAATGGTAAAGAAGCCCTGCCATGCTAGCAGTCATCAGTTGTGGGATGGTGCAGGTTACCCTGGACGAAGCCAGAGAAGGTTGGACCTGATTGTCATTGCCCACCATTTGTCCACCATCTAGAACTCAAATATCATTGCTGTCATGTCACAGGGGACAGTGATTGAGAAGGGGACCCATAAAGCACTAATAGCCCAGAAAGGAGCCTACTACAAACTAGTTCCTTAGATGCCTGGCAGCAATTTAAAAAGGACATGAAAGAACTCAATCCTTTTCAATGAATCTCCCTACATCTGCCTCTTAGCATAACCACTAATGTCTGTCTTAGTCTTATTTTTATATGTTTATTTCTACTCTGCAGATGCAGAATGAAAAGTCTTAAAAGGACTCAAGCCCTACAGTCAGCATACACTTTTCAAGATTTTTTTAAAGAAAACAAAAAGGGGGAGATGGGGAAGCCACCCACTGCTGATACTATCATGAGAGTGCACCAAGAAACACGGAAGGCCGATGGAACTTAGGTGTTAGCAGGACTGATGCTAAGCACCTCATCTATTGAGATAGTGGTGGCTCAAGGTAATTCCCTAACCTAATAATCCTTTTACTGTTTACCAAACTTTACCTTTGATATGCCTGAATGCATTGCTAGAGGGCAAGATGTGTATCTAAAACTGAATAAAAAGCAGACAGGACCCAGTTTCAGAAGTGCCTCTTCAAGAAAGAGGTCTCCACCTGGCCCCCCATGCCTTCTAAATTCATATTTCTTGCGAGTTTGATCTCTCTAAAAATTAATTTTTTAAAAAAGAAACAGGATTGTTTAGTCAACTAGATGTGTCAGGGTAGGAAAATAGTCTGAAAAGGAGAAAAATTTTATTATGATACCTACATTTGTTATTTAAGTGATTATAATGATAAAGATATTCATAATCAAAACTGGAAAAATAGGAGCAACAGGATTTATGAACATTGGAAGGAGAAGGTGTTTTAATTTTGTATATTGATCTCAATGTGTCTAAGGTGAAGATGTCCAGTAGACAATTGTATAGGGGTCTGATTTTAGACCATTACAGATGAAATGATAAAGTCATCAGCTTATGAAAATATGGTAAAGCAGAAAAGTAAATAATATAGCATAGGAAAATAAAAGTGTAGAGTAGTACTCTGTAATATTAATATTTTAGAGGTAAGAAAATGAAAAAGAACCATAAAAAGAAAAAATGGGTGCCAAAATTATCTAATAAATATCCTATATAATAAAGAGGTAATATGAAAATTGACCATCACACTCTCACAAAAGATGGCCACCCCTATGTGGTCACAAGATGGCCACCACAAGATGGCCGGCAGGGGAGGGCAGTTGTGGGAGATCAGGCCAGCAGGGGAGGGGTTAGGGGAAATCAGGCCGGCAGGCAGGCTAGGGAGCCAGCACCCTGGATTGTGAGAGGGATGTCCAACTGCCGGTTTAGGCCCGATCCCACAGGCAGTTGGACATCCCCCAAAGGGTCCAAGATTGGAAAGGATGCAAACTGGGCTGAGGGACACCTTCCCCTCCCCTCCCCAGCCCCCATGACTGAATTTCATGCACTGGGCCTCTAGAAGTATAAAAGCCATTACTGATTTTTGGCTTAAAATCCTTTCAAGCACTGAGATTGTATCTGACTCAATTTTCTCTACATAACTAACTTAATATCTTATTACCTCTAAGGTACAAATTGGAACTGCCAAAATATCTTTCCTTTGTGATTGGTTATACTGGCCATAATTCTTAAATTCAGCTCATTAAATTTTTATATAATATACTAGAGGCCTGCTGCACAAATTTGTGCATGGGTGGGGTCCGAATGGGGGGCGGGGAGGCCAATCAGGGGCCAGGACAGTCAGGGGGATGGAGGGGCTGCGGGAGGTTTGGGGGGCAGATCAGGGCCCCCATCAGGCCGGTTGGCCACCTCAGTGCACGTCTTAGCGACCAGTCATTCCAGTCGTTCCAGTTGTTCCAGTTGTTCTGTTGTTCCAGTTGCTTGGCTTTTATATATATACTAGAGGCCCAGTGCACAAAAATTTGTGCACTCATGGGGGTCCCTCAGCCCGGCCTGTGCCCTCTCGCAGTTGGGGACCCCTCAGGGGATGACCACCTGCTGGCTTAAGCCCGCTCCCCAGGGGATTGGGCCTAAGCTGGCAGTCAGACACCCCTCTGGCAGCCCAGGAGCCCTCAGGGGATGTCCACTTGTCAGCAGGGAGCAGGCCTAAGCTGCAGTCAGACATCCTTAGCACTGCTAAAGAGGCGGGAGAAACTCCCACCACTACCGCTTTACTGGCAGCCATCAGCCTGGCTTGTGGCTGAGCAGAGCTCCCCCTGTGGGAGTGCACTGACCACCAGGGGCCAGCTCCTGCATTGAGCGTCTACCCCTTGGTGGTCAGTGTGTGTCATAGTGACCAGTCATTCCTAGTCGTTCTGCTATTAGGGTCGATTTGCATATTACCCTTTTATTCTATAGGATAGAGGCCTGGTGCATTGGTGGGGACCAGCTGGTTTGCCCTGAAAGGTGTCCCGGATGAGGGTGGGGGTCCTGCTGGGGTGCCTGGCCAGCCTGGGTAAGGGGCTGAGGGCCATTTTCAGGCTGGCCACACCCCCTTCAGGGAGGGGGGTCCTGCTGGGGTGCCTCGCCAGCCTGAGTGAGGGGCTGATGGCTGTTTGCAGGCTGGCCACAGCCCCTTCAGGGTAGGGGTCCCCCTTGGGGTGCCTGGCCAGCCTGAGTGAGGGGCTGATGGCTGTTTGCAGGCTGGCCAAGCCCCCCAGCCACCCAAGCTCCCAGTGGAGGCTGGCTGGAAGCAGGTATCTGGGATTTATTTATTTTCTATAATTGAAACTTTGTTGCCTTGAGTGGAGGCCACAACCAGCCAGGGCAGGCGGGAAGCTTGGCTTTCTCCATCGCTGGGCCAACCAAGCCTCCTGCTTGCTCCAGCTCTATGGCTGCCAGCCGCCATCTTGGTTGGGTTAATTTGCATATAGTCACTCTGATTGGCTGGTGAGCGTGGTTTGGGGGTAGAGGAGGTGCCGTCAATTTGCATGTTTCTCTTTTATTAGATTAGATAGACAGATTATCAAATCTAAAATCACTGATAGAATTTTTTTAAATGTAATATTGTAGTTGAATGCCATGTTGTAGGGTTTATTTCTCTTTCTCTATCTAAAACATTAACATCTTTTTTTTCCAGATATATATATATATTTTTAAATATATTTTTATTGATTTCAGAGAGGAAGGGAGAGGGAGAGAGAGAGATAGAAACATAAGTGATGAGAGAAAATTATTGACCAGCTGCCTCCTGCATGCCCTCACTGGGGATTGAGCCCAAAACCCGAGCATGTGCCCTGACCAGGAATCAAACTGAAACTGCCTGATTCATGGGTCAATGCTCAATCACTGAGGCACACCAGTATTTAAGAGAAAAGGTCTAATTTAATCTCTACATTCTCTAGAAATTCTTCTCTGACATAATAAGTTCAAGCAAAACTTTTCCTTCTTTGATGCTTTGGGTTAAGTTAAAGTAGTGCACTATATTAAATGTATATATGTAGACATGTATACATTTCCCTGTGTTGAATTTTCACTGTATTAAATGAGGGCATTATGTCTAAATGTACTGCTTTTTCTTATACTTTATATTAAGTTCTGTATAAATAAGTACTCAGGGAAGACCTGTTGGCTTGAAAAACTTCACTTACAAATAATAAGCTTGTTCTCACAGCTTTTTTCTACAGTAAAAAAAAAAAAAAAAAAAAAAAAAAAAAGAATAATGGAAGGTGAGTGGTAGAAGGAATGTTTGTCTCCCTGAAGCTTTTAGCACCCTTGCTAAGAAGCACCATTAACTAGGGCTAACAGTAGTTCCTACCTGAACTTGCTGTTCGTATCAGCAGGAAAAATATTATAGAAAAGCATCCAAAGAAAGTGTGAGCAGTAAACTCCATTTTACCTGGAAAAGGAAAAGAAGGAAAATTAATATTTGATTAGAAGAGAGGCTATATTGTATACATTCAGTAATTTATTGATTCATGCTGTCAAGAAATATTTAATAAGCCCATATTTACCAGACACTATGCTATTTATTAAGAAAATAGAAATAATCAAATTATCTGTTCTAGAGAAGAAAATATATTTTAATATACACTTAGATTGTTATATATGAAAATAGTCACGTATACAGTACATAAATAAAGATTAAACTCTATTTGAAAGGTACTTGTGAGATCAAAAACTATCTTCATAGATTTTATTTTTGTATATTATATTCCGTAAGGAAGTTCTGATCCTCTTTCTTATCCAAATAGATGGCAAATCATCATTTGAAACCTCACTTCATCCCCATACCTATTTTAAAGCAAGTATAATTGTTACATTTTTTTCTCAGTATAATATGATAAATAAAAGTTCAGTTTTGATTTTTTAATTTCCACAATTACTTAATTTCTAATCTAGTCAAGTTATTTAACTTCTCTCTATGTTAATTTCTTCAACAGTAAAGTGAATATAATAAACAAAAATTGCTACAAAGTTCTTAAAGTGCTGAACACTGCTGTATGGTGTATATGAAATGTTAAGAGAGTATATTCACACAAAGGAAAAACACTTCTTGTACTTATATGAGATAATAGATATTAACTTACTGTAGTAATCATTTTATAACATATATAAGTGAAATTATTTTGCTGCATGCCTTAAACTTATACAGTACTGTCTGTTAATTATATCTCAGTAAGAGTTGGGAAAAGTGCTGAACACTATTCTATTTTTATAATCATTATTAGAGGCCCAGTGCATGAAATTCATGCATGGGGGTGGGGGGTTCCCCTCAGCCTGGCCTGCACCCTCTCGCAATCCGGGACTGCCGGCTCCTAACTGCTTGCCTGCCTACCAGCTTGATTGCCGCCTAACCGCTCCCCTGCCATCTTAATGGCCCCCAACTGCCCTCCCCTGCCAGCCTCATGGCCCCCAACTTCCCTCCCCTGCAGGCCTCATGGCCCCCAACTGCCCTCCCCTGCTGGCCTGATTGCCCCCAACCGCCTCTGCCTCAGCCCCACCACCATGGCTTTGTCCAAAAGGAAGTCAGACGGTTGGAAGATATCTGATCTTCTGGTCTAATTAGCATATTACCCTTTTATTAGTATAGATTATTGCCACTTTTGGTATTCTTATTATCTATTGTTAATAATATTTTTACCTTTACTAACTTAAAATCCCTTTAAGCACTGAGATTATATCTGACTCAATTTTCTATGCTTAGTGTTTAAAGAATATTTATTGGATTAAAATGACTTATTCATTCATTCATTCAATCACTGCATAATGTAGATCAGGACTTTCCTAGAAATAGAGATAAACAAAACCCTAAAACATAAAACATTCTTTAAAAGAGTATAGTTTTTGCTCCACCTTTAACTTAGCTGTTAACATTACAGGCTCGCCACCTATCCAACTTAATAATTTTTTCCCTTATAAAGAAGAATATAGAGCTGCAAACTAAATTGCACCAAATTAAAACTGCTAATCAACTTGTTAAATGCAAAGGGAATATGTTGCAATCCTGAATTCAATTATTTTTATTTCTTATTTTTACTAGCCCATCTTAAACAAAATAGTTTAATTATTTTTCAAAATTGTATGTAATACATTAAGAGAAAAAGTAAAAGGAGAAATTAGGATAAATATAAAAATCGGAGAAATAAATGGCAGCCATATATAAAGTAAGTTGACACCATTTCTAATGGCAAAGCATTTTCCAGAGAACAATTTACTATTGAAAATAATGAATTACTTTATTCATAGTATACTGGTTTTCAATTACTACATAGCAAATTAAGAAATTACTGGCTTAAAACAGCATACATTTATTATCTTACAGTTCTATAAGTCAGAAATCTAGCAAGCTTGACTGGCTACTCTGCTTAGGGTCTCGCAAAGCTGAAATAAAAGTTTTGACCAGACCCAAGAAAGTCAATAATATTCAAACAGAAAAAACAAAGCAGTTTTGATACATAATAATCAAATTTATGAAAACACCTCAAAAATTTTTAAACAAAAATACAGAAATGACACATTACGAACTGGATAGAAACAATATTTTAAAAATTATATACTTCTCATAAACTGTGGAGGACAGAATTCATTGAAACAACATCTTTAAAAGGCTAACATTTAAAATAAAGAAATGAAATAATTGTCAGCCCAGAATTTTATATCTGATATCATGTAAAATATTCTTCAACATAAAAGAAATAACTAAGAAAAGGAAGAACATGTCTTTCTTTTTGTGTGTGCTGAGAAGCTTAATATCTTGGCTAATTTCAAGTCTACAATACAGTGTAATTAACTATAGTCATTCATCTTAAAGCTGATGATTTGTATCTGTTAACCAACATCTTCCTCTCACCCCCTTTTTTAACCTCAGAGAACCATATACTCTGTTTCTATGAGTTCAACCCTTTTTTCCCCAGATTCTACATATAAGTGAGATTATACAGTATTTGTGTACCTCTGCATGACATATTACTTAGCAAAATGTTCACTTAATTTCATGCATGTTATTACAAATGGCAAGATTTCTTTTCAGAAACCTATAAAGGAAACCTCATTAGGTCATCATCAGATTTTTCAGCAGAAACTAAGAGAGTGTGAAATCAAATATTCAAGTTATTAAAAGAAAGAAATCACCAGCCAAGAATACAACATCCAGAAAAGTTATCCTTTAGATATGAATGAGAAATAAAGGCTTTTTTAGGCATACAGAAGGTGAGGGAATTTACCATCATATGACTGACATTACAAGCGATACGGAAGAATGCTCTTCTACCTGAAATAGACAAAATAATCCAAACTATAAGTAAGATGAGTAACAGACAAAAGCAGGAAATTGCAGACAGATGTATTAAACAGTTAAATATAACATAAAGGTTAATGGAAGTACTAGCATTTTTTAAAGAAAAGAAGACAATAGCTACTGCAATTCAGAAATGAACTCACTGCATAAAAAGGGACAATTTGAGAAAATTAAAACATAAAAGTGAAAGGACTGAACTAGCGCAAGTGAATGAAGATAAGATGCAACCAGATGAAAAAGGACTACTGTACATATAAAACTTACTGCTGCATAAACCTAATTGTAACCACAAAAAATCTAGAACTGAGATACATAACATAAAGAAAGGAAACAGAGGAGAAAAATTATAGGATACCACAAAACTAAAATAACAGACAGAAACACAAGGGAAAAGAAACTATGGAGACACAGAGCTACCAGAAACCAAAAGATAAAATGGCTATAGGAAACCCTCATATATCAATAATCATTACCCTAAATAAAATTAGACTAAATTCACCAATTAAAAGGCATATAGTATGGGATGGATCAAAAAACAAAACCCAACTGTTTACTGCATCCGTGCACAAATTTCACATCTCAGCTGCAAGGACAAACATGGATTCAAAGTGAAGTGACAGAAAATAATATTCCAAGCAAATGACATCCAGAGAAAAGTGGGTGTCGCTGTACTGATAAAATAGATTTCAAGCTAAAACAAAAAAGGTAACAAAAGACAAAGATGAACATTTATAATGATAAAGGGGTACAAAGATATCAAGAGGACATAAGACATCCTATATAAAAGAAGCCAAATATGCAAATTGTTTGACTGGGAGCTCCATCAGAAGTTTGACCACTCACTATGACATGCGCTGACCACCAGAGGGCGGCGCAGGACATGGCAGGCATCAGCGATGCAGCCCTGGCAGTGGGCCGCAATGGAGGCACTGCTGGCCCCAATGAGCCTGACGAAAGTGGGACTACAGCAGGATGGTGGAGCAGGTGAGCAGGTGGCACCAGGCCAAGGTGGGTGCGAGTGGGGCCGATCCCCCCGCCAATAGACCCACAAACTGCGACTGGCGCTGCTGCCTGGCTCCCAGGTGCTGAAGAAAATAGGTGGGAGTTTCCAGCCCCAAACTATCACCCCAAAGATGGTGACCAGTGGTGGTGGCAGGGAGTGGGGCTGCTACCCCGCTCCCAGGCACTGAGGGAGCTGGGCAGAGGGCCTGGCCCTGATCAATCACCCTGCATATGGTGACCAGCGGCCGGTAGGCCCTGATTGCCCAATAGGGGCCAGGCCCCTGGCTGGGATGGGGAACTTGGGGTGGGTGGCGGCGACCAACCTGCTGTGGCACCCAGGGAGGAGGCTGCAACCTCTTGCCGGCTAGCTGGGGTTGGGAGTGATGGGGACGGAGGTGTGGTGAGAATGCGGGGTGCATCCCAGCCCGCAGCATCCAGCTGTGCTCATAGCATCTCTGTGTGGGGACTCGGGCACTGTGACTCAGGCGGAGGGGGGCGCGTGGGGGCACGGGGACCTAGGGGCTGCCTAGGGCCCAGAGGTTAGCTGGGACCTGCCCTTCCACACTAGACGCTCGCGCTTTGATCACCAGCCAGGTCTAGGGACTGTATCTGTGCACAAATTTCATGCACCAGGCCTCTAGTTAATATATATGCACCCAACCTAAGAATACAAAAATGTATAAATCAATTACTAACAGAACTGAAGGGAGAAACTGACAAAAATACAGTTATAATAACAGACCTAAATAACCCATTAACATCAATGAATAGATCATCCAAACAGAAAATCAGTAAGGAAATATTGGCCTTATATGGCACATTAGATGAAATAGACATAATTAATAGCTCTGTGTCTCCATAGTCTCTTTTCCCTTGTGTTCTATCTGTTATTTTGTTTTATGGTATTCTATGATTTTTCCCGGTTTCCTTTTTTTCCTTATGTGCCTTCGTTCTAAACTTTGTCATGATTATCATTTATGCAGGTTTATGCAGCAGTAAGTTTCATATGTGCAGTAGTCTATTTTCATCCCATAACACAGAATGTGCATTCTTTGCTAATGCACATAGAACATTCTCAAGAATAAATTATATGTTGGGATGTAAAATTAGCCTAAACAATTTTAAGATTGAAATCATCCCAAGCATATTCTCCAACCACAAAACTTTGAAATTAGACATCAACTGCAAAAAGAAAGTGGGAAAAACATAAACATATGGATATTAAATACCATGTTACTAACTGACAAGTAAGTAAAAAGAAGAAAGATGAGATCAAAAGATACATAGAGACAACTGAGAATGACAAGATGGCGTATCAAAATTCAGGGGTTAGAGCAAAAGTGGTAATAAGAGGAAAGTCTGGATGGCTTTCTAAGTGGTTAGATCATCAGCCCATAGGCCAAAGGGTCATAGGTTTGATTCCTGGCCCCGGTTGGGAAGCGTTCGGAAGGCAACCAATCGATGTGTCTCTCTCACATCAATGTTTCTCTCTCTCTCTCTGCCTGCTCCTTTCTCTTTTGCACTCTGCCTGAAAATCAATGCAAAAAATATCCTCAGGTGCAAATTAAAAATGTAGGGAAGTTTATATCATTACAGGCCTGCCTCACAAAACAATAAACAACTTAACATTGCAGCTTAAAAGAAGTAGAAAAAAATACAAAGTCCAATGTTAGTACTGTAGAAGGAAAGAAGTAATAAAAATTATTGCAGAATTAAACAAGATAGAGAACAAAAAGATAACAGAAAATATTAGTGCAACAAAGACCTGTCTCTTTGAAAAGATTAATAAAATTGACAAACCACTGAATAGACTCACTAAAGAAAAACAAGGAAAATAATCAAATTCAGAAATGAAAGCGAAGTTACAATGAAAACCACAGAAATACAAAGGACTATACAAGAATACTATAAAAGGTTATATAATGCTACCAAATTCAATAACCTAGAAGAAATGTACAAATTCTTAGTAATATTATATAAATTACTGAATTATGAGAAGTTAGAAAATCTAAATAGAACAATCAACAGTTAAGAAAATTGAAACAGTCATCAAAAAGTAAAAGAACAGGGAGAGGAACCAAGATGGTGGCACAGGTAAATGCCTGAACTTGCTGCCTCCCACAGTCACGTAAAAATTACAACTAAAATACAGAACAACTATCATCCAGAACCATAGGAAAGCTGGCTGAGTGGAAGTACTACAACTAGAGAGGTAAAGAAGAAAGCACATTGAAACTGGTAGGAGGTGCGGAGGCAGGAAACGGGCTGGTCTAGCACGCTGGTGTGCCGCTTTTTTTTTATTGGGAGGGAGTTCCTTTCTGTGGAGGCTGCCCGGAGGAGCAAAGAGTCCCAGCCCCACACCAGACCCCCAGCCCAGGGTTCCGGAGCTGGGAAAAGAAGTCCCTACGGGGCCATAAGAACTATGGACTATAAAAACCAGTGCGGACTGGGACTGAGTGACACACAGGCTGCTGGAGACCCAACTGCTCCTCTTAAAAGGCAGGCACCACTAACTGAATTTACAAGCTCTCGCTTGCTCTGAGCTCCAGTGCTGGTCAAGGCTCTGGGGAACCCAGACACATATGGGGAGAAACTGGACTGTCTGGCATCAGGGCAGGAATGTGGGGGTGGCTTTCTTCCAGACAGAGGTTCTCGCAGCGGTCATTATTCCCATGCTGGGACCTCCCTGGTGTCTACCTATGAACCAGGTCACTGTTTGAATCCCAGTCAGGGCACATGCCCCATTTGCAGGCTCAATCCCCAGGAGGGGAGTGCAGGAGGCAGCCAATCAATGATTCTCTCTCATCATTAATGTTTCTATCTCTCTCTCTCTTCCTTTCTCTGAAATCTATAAAAACATACTTTTTAAAAAAATTGTGAGCTGATGTCTTCATAAAACTTGCTAGTCTATTACAGAATTCTGGCATGCTCTAGACACTTCACAATTGTCTAATTCCTAGTTTCTCCTGTAAAATAAAAGTAACTAATGGTTACAAGAATTTTGTTAGTCAGTTGAGAGAGATTTCCTCAGTTTTGATATCTGATCAACCTCAATTTATCATCTCTCCACCCCTGATTTCCTATCACCCTGCCTTCAATGAGAATCCTGTTAGGTTGGTTTAGCAGAAATTACCTCTACCTTTGATATCTCCTCTTAGAAATTTTCCATCTACTAAGTTCCTCAGCCACCTTCTTGGCTATCTATAAATCCTCATTTATTCTTGTCACATTCAGAGTTGAATTTAATTGCTCTCCCCTGTTGCAATAGTTTTAACATCTTTACAGTAGTCCCTAATAAAATCTTTCTTGCCATTTTAACATGTCAGAATTTTTTTCTTTAATAGTACAGATTTCTAGGCTGGCATTTCTTTCCTTTTAGCACTTGAAAAGTGTATTTTCTTGTGACTAACATGGTTTATGATTCATAATGTGCTGTCATTCAAGTCTGTGTTCCCCTGTTGGTAATATGTTATTTCTCTCTATCTGCTTTCTAGATTTTTTCCTTGTATTTAGTCTTAAGAAGTTTGACTCTGATGTGTATTAATATAAATTTCTTTCAGATTATCATGTTTTGGTTTTATTCAGCTTCTTGAATTTATAGGTTTAAAGCTTTTGTCAAACTTTGAGAATTTTATCTCTGGGTTTTAGATTGAGTAGTTACTATTATTCTGTATTGCAGAATCTTTCTCTGACTGACTTATTTCACTTAGCATAATGCTCTCCAGCTCCATCCATGCTGTTGCAAATGGTAGGAGTTCCCATCCTTTCAGGCCAGACTGAGGGACCTCCCCCCACTGCACAAATGTTTTACAAAACATTATTATCAAGGGAAACTAAGTAAAGGATACATAGGTTATATCTGTAATATTTATTTTTAATATCTTCATGTGAAACTATAATTATCTCAATAAAGATTTTTAAAGACTTTTTTATTTTGTGTGTGTGTGTGTGTGTGTGTGTGTGTGTGTGTGTGTGTGTGTTTGTATGTATGAGAGAAGTTATTCTATTAAATTTAATTAAAACCCTGGCCAGTGTGGCTCACTTGGTTAAGCATTGTCTCATGCAATGAAAGATCACTGGTTCTATTCCTGGTCAGGGCACATGCCCAGGTTGTGGGATTGGTCCCTGGTTGGGATGCATGTGGGATATTTTCCTCTCTCTCTCTCCCTGTCCATTCTTCTCTCTCTCTCTCTCTCTCTCTCTCTCTCACACACACACACACACACACACACACACACAAACACACACACACACAAAATAAAAAAAAGTCTTTAAAAATCTTTATTGAGATAATTATAGTTTCACATGAAGATATTAAAAGTAAATATTACAGATATAACCTATGTATCCTTTACTTAGTTTCCCTTGACAATAATGTTTTATAAAACTACTAGAGGCCCAGTGCATAAAATTTGTGCGGGGGGCGGGGGGATCCCTCAGTCCGGCCTGCAAGGACACAAGGATTCCACGCCAGGCCTGGCCAGAGGCCAGGCTCACGAATTTCAAACCGATTCATTTGCCAACTCAAAAACCATGGCTATACTCTCAACTGCTATCTGATTTTAATCCTTCTTAGTATTTACATATTTTCTTCTCTCATCCCTCCCAAAACTAATCCTAGAGTTTTGAGAATCTGGGAACTTGGGCAAAGGAGAAAACAACCAAGAAATCTGAAATCTCAGTTCATTACCTCAACCAAAACCAACAGTTCCTTTTTGTTTATATTGGCCCAACTCAAATGATCAGATCATGTGAATCATAAAGCACAAAATACAGGTGTCCTTACTGACAGTGAAAAGTCCAAAGTGTAATTAAGTGTGCTCTTTCTTGGTGGCAGTCATTTACTCTATGCTTAAACGTTTGCGTTTCCTTAAGTCTCTCTTTGTCGTACAGGCACACATGGTTGCATCATACTCAGATTCGCCAGCTGGGCCTGGGGAGTGTGTGTTTTTCCTACCGGTCCTCAGTGTTAGCTGTCAGATGCACTAATCATTGCTTCCTTGTTGCATCTACCGCAGTGGAATGCAAGCTCCTGGCAAGAACAGCGCCCAGAGAGCATTCCTGGCAGATGAGCAGTTTGCTTTAGCCAGGCGCTCAGCTGGAAAGTTTCCTCTAACCAGGAACATCCGCTTTTAACCCCCAGAGCTGGCAGGGCGCAGGCCGCTAGAAGGGGAAAGGGTTTTGTACTTACTCCGCTAGGCTGCCCAACCTGAGGAACAATCTCTCAGCCAAACTCCTCCAACCCTCGTGGACAGGCTGTCCAAAGCTCTTGGGTGCTTAGAGAATGCCGAGGAGGTGAGGAGGTTTCCTCTACGTGAAAGGGAGCGCGGGTCGCCCGGCTGGAAATCTGGGCACTGGAGGTAGATGGGGAGCCAGGGGAGCGGTGGCGCAGGAGGGAGCTAAACGCAGGAGGTAAAAGAAGCACAGAAAGGAACGAAGTGCAGGAGAGAGTGGGGGGGCTCTGATGGAGGAATGGAATTAACAATAGGGATTC